CAGGGCTGCCCCCATGTGCCCCCCATGTGCCCCCACATGCCCATGTGCCTTCATGTGCCCCTCCATGGACTCAGCACAGAGCTGGCCCCTGGTGTCTGGAGCCTGTATATGCAGGGCACACCCGCAGACCCGTCTCCTGGGCACCTCTGGGTTGGCCCGTCCCCCAGCCTCTCAGCCAGGAGCTGAGTGGTTGCCCTAGCGGGGAGGGGCCACATCGAGGGTCCCAGTCAGTCTGTCACCACAGTTACAGTTCTGCTCCCCCTGCCTGCCTGCACCCCACCCACGTCCATGTCCAGGACAGGCCCCGGGGAGCCCTGGATGTGAGCCCATGAAGCAGGCTGAGCGTACAGTGACAGGCCCGGAGGGCTTCCTGGAGGAGTGGTCCCGCCCAGAGGTGGAGTGTGGGGCCCGGCTCAGAAGGGACAGAGCATGGATGCCCCCCCTGCTCCCACCCCAAGTGGGGGGGCTCAGCCAGGGGGAGGAGCTGATACAGCAGAGATCTCCACCCCCACCCCTACCTCAGGGCTGGGCTGAGGTAGCCTCTCTGCCACCAGCTCCTTCCCTGCTGTGTGGGTCCTGAGGCTGTCTGAGGGGCGGGGGAGGGTGGGCCTGGCACCCGACTCAGCACCCACCCTGCCTGCAGGGACCAGGGACCAGGACAGCTGGGCAGACAGGCTCCCTTTCTGAGGCTGAGCCAGGCGGTGATGGCAGCCCCATCCCCGGTGGCCTGGGCTGTCTCAGGTTTCCTCTGTGGTCCCGTGAAGGGACCCTTGTCTCCAGGAGGCCCAGGGCATCCTCACATGCTCACACACAGAGTCCTCTGAGCTCTGGAAGGAGCCCGGCCCTGGAACCTCAGGGCCCCGGCTTGGAACAGGGCCAGGGAGCTAGTGACGTGGTGGGTTCTGTGCCAGGGCCCCGTGTCCACCCACCCACCATACTGGCCTGCTCCCATGGCCTAAGGGACAGCCCCTTCCCATCCAGAAGCTACCCTCCTGCCTCTCAGCTGAGAGCCCCCCAGCCTTCCCAAGGCTGCTCTCTTTCCCAGCCCCCACCGTCTGCCCGCCCACATGCACAGAGAGCAGGGGGCTCACACAGTGGGAGAGCCAGCCCAGGCCCACTTGCTCCTCTGCCCAGGAGCTCAAAGCACCTCAAATGCCCCTTTCTCTAAGGGTCCTGCCCTGGGTGCCAGGGCTTCAAGAGCCACCTCTGGCCATGGGGCCCCATGCAGACCCCTGTCTGAGCCCTGGGCTCACAAACCCAAACCCACCCACTGCCAGCCGGTCCCTCCCTCTCAGAGCTGCCCCGTGTGGGGCTTCCCAGGCTGCAAAGCTTCTGGGAGCAGACATCCTCTTCTGTCTCCTCAGGAGCAGCTAGTGGATGAGAAACACTGACCTCATGGTGACCAGTCCACCCCCTAACCAGGGACACTGGGCACCTCATTCAGTGCCCTCAAACCCACTGCCACTGAGTTGGTCCCACTCATAGTGAGTTGGCGTTTTAGAGGCTGTAACTCTGTGGGGCATCAGACAGCCTCATCTTTCTGCCCTGAGCACACTCCCTTCCTGGTCCGTGCAGGTTCGTCCATCTGGCACCCGGCGTGCCGGCAAGTGGCCAGGACTGAGGACAGAGCCAAGGTGGGTGACCTCACGTGCTTTTTCCCTGGACCCCTGTGTTTGGGGCTGTCTTGGTCCCATCAGGGGACTCTTGGTGGTCCCTGTGGCCCTGGGTCAGCCTCCGAAGCTTCCCGGGTCTGGCTGTGGCAGGGGGGTGGGGGGCGGGGGTGTTTATCTATCTAGTTAGATCACTAGAGGCACAACGTCAGCAAAGCAAATATGTAAGTATACAAAGTATTCATCTGCGTGGTATCATTCATATACAGAGAGAGAGATTTGTTTCGAACAAATGGCTCAGCCAATTGTGGAGACTGGCAAACCTCCATCCACAGCTCAGTCTTCAGGCCACGCACATCTTCTTACTCCTGCAGAGCCTAATGAGCCCCAGGCCAGCACCTGAGATGGCAGCTGTGTGCTCATGGGATTATGGGAAACTGCCACATCTTCAGGTCCGATGGCAGCCTGCTGGCTCACATCCCGCCTGACTCAGGGGTCAGAGGTGGACATGTTGTGTGCACAGCAGAGAGAGGGCTTCTGCCCGGGGCGTAGACCATTCCCACGAAGCACTCCACCAGGTCATGCGTGGGGGACGCTTGTGCAGTTCCAGGCATGGTGACCTGGACAAGCTGAGGCATAGCTTTGACCATCACGCAGGTGACAGTGTAGGTAACAGATTGGGCATGTATCATAACCAGCTCAGCTGATTGCTGATATGAGGTGTAGCAGGAGCTCCCAGGGTCTCTGGAGACAGGCCCTGCTGACCTTCACCCATCCTTCAATCTGTCTGTCCATCCATCCATCTGTCCATCCATCCATGACCAATCAATCATCCCTTCACCCATCCCCACTCATCCAACCAGCCACCCTTCTATTTATCTATCAACCCATCCATCCATTCACCCACTGACTTATTGATCCATCCATTCAACCCCCATCCAACCAGCCATCCTTCTGTTCCTCTATCCACTCCCCCCCATTTGTCCATCAATCCCCTACTCATTCATCTAGACATCCTCATGGTCATCTATCTATCCACCCATCCATCCATCCATCCATTTGTACATCCATCCATCAGCCCATCCATCTGTCCATCCTCCATCAGTCCATTCATCTGTCCATCCATCTAGCATTCATCATCCAACTGTCCATCCTCCCATCCATTCATCCATCCATCCGTCCGTCCATCCACCCATCATCTATCCATCCACCCATCTATCCATCTCCTACTCTTTCATCCTGATGTTCTGATGGCCATCCGTCCATCGTCCATCCATCCATCCATCCACCTACCTAACCATCCATCCATCCATCCATCCATCCATCCATCCATCCATCCATCCATCC